CCACACCAGTCCTTCACTCCAGGGTTGCCCGATGCACCCAATGAAGGCTACCTTGAGCTGGGTGTGGTAATTCCCACCCCAAAAGATCACCTCTAGTGGAAGGGCCTGCAAGCATGCTATGTAGCAGAGCCGGGCTACAGTGAGAGCATGTTGGAAGCTCCTGCAAGGTGAGCCCCTTAGGTATAGGGATGAACAAATTCTCTGGACACACATGCAGGGCACGTATGGAGAAGGATGATGCAGAGAGTGTGGAGACATACGGACAGGGGGCGGGGGTGTGGCTGGCTTGGGGAGCCAGAGAGTCCAGACCAGTGGGGGAAAGGGGAAAGGCTGATAAGGGGTCAGCCAGCCAGTCTGCGGGGTGGACAGAGGCACGTGCTTCCTGCCATCCCCGAAGCCCTCATGCCTGGGACAGGGTGGCCACCTCCATCTCCATCTCCGTGCCTGTGCTGGCTGCCAGCTTCCCAAGAAAAGAGGAGTCCTTCAGCTCACATGACCAAAAAAGGGCATCTTCTCAGCAGGAAGATTGGCCTAGTTTCTCTTTTCTCTACCTGAGGTTTCAGGTTCCCAGGGAAGTGGCTCCCCAAACACAGGGCCTTTTCTCACACAAACCCACACACAGGTCGATTGAGCAGGGGGACACTCTGTTCCGATGTCAAAAATGTCTTCTGGCCCTAACCACCGCCGTCATCACCTGTCTAAATTGTCATCGCGATGTGGGGAACATTTCATTTCTCAGAACTCTCCAAGGGGAGGATTATCGTCTCCACCCTATAGACGGGGAAACTGAGGCACTAAGAGAAAGCCGCAGGCGAGGCTCTGGAGTCCCAGTGGGGTTGAACAGGGGTAAGGTGAGGTGCAGACACCAAGTTAGTCTTTATTTCAAATATTCTTCCTAGTTTGTTCATCTGGCTTTTTATTTTTGCACTAATTTTACTGTAAAATATTGTACTAAAATATGATTTAGGGCGGCTGGGTGTCTCAGTGGTTAAAACGCTGCAAAATTATGCGGGCTGGAGGCTCAGTCCTCAGAATCCACATAAATGCCAAGTGGGCACGGCAGCACTCCTGTAATCCGATCATTAGAATGTGGAGGCAGGACCCCGGAACAAACTGGCTAGCAAGACTCTGGGCTTGCTTGAGAGACCCTGTCTCAATGAGTAAGATGGAAGAGCTATTGAGAACGATCCCCAACGTCGACCTCAGGATTCCACATGCGTGAGCACACGTATGTACTCACACACATGTGCCTACACACATGCAGAACATATATATACACGTGCACATGGCACACATGCAAATGGAAAAAAGTGAAAAATAAAATAAAATATGATTTGTCTTGTTTACTGAGCTCTTTCGGCATCTGAGTGTCTCACCTCACCTGAACCCACAGAGCCAAAGCTGAGGGGGGCAAAGCTTCTGATTCCCCAAAGCCTTGCCCTTCACCATGAAGCTCTTGGATTGTGTGTGCACACGGGTGCCTGTGTGTATACACCATGACCTGGGAAGCTCCTGGATTGTGTGTGCACATGGGTGCCTGTGTGTATACACCACGACCTGGGAAGCTCCTGGACTGTGTGTGCACACGGGTGCCTGTGTGTATGTTCATGGACTGATTCCTTCCTCTGAAGCAAACAGCAGTATGACAGTATGGCCTGGTGGAGAAGGCGGGGCCTGGGAATCTGACCTTCGAGACTTGGAGATCAGACTTCACTATTCCTGACTGATTGGAAGGCAAGCCTATGTGCAGAGCATGGACTCTAGTTCCACAATACCATCACTGCTTCACTGCGTCCCTCAGGTGGTTTCTTCAAGTCTCCGGCCCTATGCCTGACTGGACCCCTCTCTGCCCAGCAGCCAACCTCCGCTGACACTCTATCAGAAGTCTTCTTGCATGGTTTCCTGCCCCTTCTGGGCACACCTCACAGCTATGACCAGAATTCTGCTGTCAGGTGGCGGGGCTGAGCTGCCTTACCCAGTCAGGGTGTCAGCTCTGGCCACATCTGACACTCCAAAGCAGGCATTAAGTGCACAGAATTTGGGGTTAAGGTCAAAAGTGCCAACTTCCACATTCCTTGACTGCCCTTCAGCAGGCTAATTAACCTATCTGTGCCTCAGTTTCCTCCTATGTGAAATGGGGAGAGTGGGAACACTAGCTTCCTAAGGCATTCTGATGACTAATGAGTTATCCTTTGAAACTCCTTCAGACTGGCCTGTTTGCAAACAGGGCTTTACTGAGGTAAGCATTGTTCTCCAGTTAGTCATGTTAGAGTGTGCCAACAGCTGATACAAATATCTCTTCAATGTCAAGCATGTGACATGACAGATGTTTAAAGTTTGTTCCTGTAGCATTCCAGTGTGGGACTGCAGGGGAGTCTTCCTTCTACACACTGACTGACAGGTTCAGGTCCTCCACTCTTTAATAAAATATATATATATTTTTTTTTAGTTAAAAAATTATTTTTATGTGTATGGGTGTTTTGCCTGAATGTATGTGCACCACATGCATGCATTGCCCACAGAGGCCAGAAGAGGGCATCGGATCCCCTAGGACTGAAGTTATAGATGGTTGTGAGCTGCCATGAGGGTGTGGGATTGAACCTGGATCAATTCCCAGCACCAGTGCTTGTAACCGCTGAGCTATCTCTCCAGCTCCTCTACTGCATTTCTTGCAGGTCACCAGGGATTCTGTGGACAGAATTTAGGGGGTCCACTGTGGGAGCCTGTTTTCCGGTTCCTCCTGGCTTTACCCAACATGTCTGCATAGAGGATGATTAAGACCATGGGCCTGGGGCTGGAGAGATGCCTCGGAGGTTAAGAGCACTAGCTGCTCTTCCAGAGGTCCTGAGTTCAATTCCCAGCAACCACATGGTGGCTCACAACTATCTAGAATGAGATCTGGTGCCCTTTTCTGGCATGCAGACACACATACAGGCAGAACATTGCATACATAACAAATAATAAATCTTTAAAAAAAAAAACAAAAAAAAACCACGGGCCTGAGTGCAGGTGTCTGAGATGGTCTGCACTTGGCTGTGTTGGGGGAGGAGGTCTTTTGCTCTACCCCTTGGCGTCTCTATAATTACCCTGGGGCAGAGACAGTCAAGGCCCGTTGGAAAAGGTTCCAGGTCCTCTCGAGGTTATCCTTTATTTTCTATCTGTTTATCTCCGCAATATTCTCCGTAATAAATCCTTCTATCTAATATTTCCTGCTGCTCACACTCAAGAAAACTCTGGGGAACTGTGGGGTTGGTGGGTAAACACCCCACCATCCATATCCCCAGAAACATGGCCTGAGGTGGTGATTCCCAAGCTAGTGATGCTGAGAGAATGCTTTCAGGATAGGGGGCAGTGAAAAGCAGATAGATCAGAAAGGAAGGGGCTGAGCAAGGACTGATCTCAGCTTCAGATGTGTTTGGTCTGAGCACAGGGGACTGTGGGGTGGGAACTGTACCTTGTGGGTGTGATGGTCACAGAGGGAGTGGGCTGGTGTCATCCAGTCTGTCGGAAGCTCTCTGGGGTTGGGGAAGTGGCACTTTTACTTTGAACACGGTAGCTTTGCTGGTTGCAGTTCTCTGGGGTGGCATGGAGTCATGGGCAGCTGGCATTCACAGCAGCTAGGGCAGGCACATGCAGGTGCATTTGTTCCCTGAAGGGGCTTGGCCAGGTATCCAAAGTGTCCGTGCACATGTGAACTGAAGTTTGGCATTTTCTTCAGTTCTGGGAATAGGCAATAAACCATAGGAATATTAGCTGTACCTGTGACTTTGTGTCTAGCAGAAATCACAAGTGCTAGGATTATAGATGTGAGCCACCACATCTAGATATGCTCATTTATACTTTCAAATCGTGGTGGTTAGGAGATCTGGTAGACATTTTTAGTGTTGGTGAAAAAGGATATGCGTTATCACATTATGAATTTGTTCTTTTATTTATTATTTATTGTGCATCTGGATATGGGTATATGCATGTGAATGCAGGTGCTCAATAATTCAAAAAAGGTGTTGGATCCCTGGAGCCAGAGTTACAAGCAGTTGTGAGCCACCTGATGTAGGTACTAGGAACCGTGCTTGGGTCATCTGGAAGAGTTATACGTGCTTCTAGCCACTAAGCCATCACTCCAGCCCCACAGAGCTGTTCTTAAATATTTTATTAAGTGTGCCAATTCAGCTTCAGCTCTTCACAGCTCCAAACACTGCGTATTTTAAAACCTTGTTGATATTATTATCATTGTGTGTTTCTGGGGTGTGTATGTTTGCATGGAGGTCACGGGACAACTCTGTGGAGTTGGTTTTCTCCTACCTTTACTTGGGTTCACAAGACTGAACTCCAGTCTTCAGACTAGCTTGGCAAGCACCTTCACCTGCCGAGGCTTGCCTGTCTCTCGTGTAACTACAAACACTGTTCTGCCAGATGTCATGGTGCATGGTTTTAATTCCAGTACTTGAGAGGCAGAGGCAGGCAGATCTCTGGGAGTTCAAGGCCAGCCTGATTTACACAGCGAGCTCCAGGCCTCCCAGGGTTACCTGGTGAGACCCTGTCTCGATAATATTGTCAGGAGAAGGAATCCACAGCCTTCATCAGTTGGCCAAAGGAGGGAGAGAGAGTCTGTGACATGAAAGGGGCGAAACACCCTGTTCTAGGGTGATAGCCTCTTCGGTATTCAACCAGCCACAGGGAAAAGGGCTTTATTGATCAGACCTGGAAGTTAACATACATTATTGTCTTGTTATATATATATATGGTCTTCCCAGAATGCACTGGGAAGAATGCAGTCATCTGACCATACCTAACTATAGGGGAGGCTGGGGGAATACAGTCTATGCATACCCAGAAACTGGAGGACTGGGCTAGGGAATTTTGCCCAGTAGTCTGGGCTAGGGGGCTGTGATACTCACTGACATCCCAAGTGAGAACCTCCGTCCAGGATGACTTGCTCTGTCTTGGAGAGGATGTGCAGAGGGCTAGATTCTAAATCTCCCATCATATTGTCTCCTTAGGACAAGCCACGCCAAAGCCAAGGCTGAGGCGTCAGAGCAGGCTGCTCTGGCTGCCAACCAGGAATCCAACATTGCCCGCACACTGGCCAAGGAGCTGGCCCCAGACTTCTACCAGCCAGGTAGGGCCAGCCATGGGTGGAGTGGTCAGGGGAGTGCCACGGTGGTCGCTTTTTCTCACTTGCTACCTTAATGCCTAAGTGGATCTCTGAATGCCTATGAGTTTTGGAACCGGTGGGTGTGGTACAAATGGGAGATGAGGTGACACAGGGGTTCATGGGGGGCACACATCTCTGCCTCTATGCAAGACTGGGGTGGGACAGCTGAGACCCACCCCAGCTTGTCTCTTGTCCCCCATCTTGGCAAGACAGTCGAGGGGAGCTGATGATGCTGATGTGAACAGGTCTCTGGTGCATGGTGGTGTGTGTATGTCAAATGGCTCTCTGTTCCTTTCAAAAGTTTGTGGGGTGCGGTTGGAACTTTCTTTGGGCCACCAACCAGCTTCCAAGTAGAGACACAGAGGCTTATTATTAATTATGAATGCTTGGCCCTAGCTTAGGCTTGTCCTACTAGCTCTTTTAACTTAATTTAACCTGTTTCTCTTCATCTATGTTTTGCCTTGGGGCTTTTTAACCTTTCTTTCATTCTGTATGTCCCAATTTCCTGCTTTCTCCATGTCTGTCTGGCCCCTGGCATCTCCCTGTCATCTTCCTTCCTTTCTTTCTTCCTTCCTTCCTTTTCTTTTTTCTTTCTTCTTCCTTCCTTCCTTCCTTCCTTCCTTCCTTCCTTCCTTCCTTCCTTCCTTCCTTTCTTTCTTTCTTTCTTTCTTTCTTTCTTTCTTTCTTTCTTTCTTTCTTTTTTTCTTTTGAGCCTAAATTCCTCCTCCTACTTACTCTCCTCTCCTGGAAGTTCCACCTATACCTCCTCCACTGCTACCGGCTGTTGGGATTTTTATTAGACCAATCAGGTGCCTTAGGTAGGTGAGGTAAAACAGCAACACATCTTTACATAATTAACAAATACAACACATCTTTACATAGTTAAACATTCCGCAACAGTGGGGCATTGATCAGGCACTGCCTGTGTGTCAGGCAACATGCTGGGCTCTGAGGATGTGCAGCTAGGACCCAGAATCAGAAAGAGTCACGCAGGCGGCTTTGCATTGGTTAACACAGGCTCGTGTGTTTAAGGCCTTGCCCGCTAGTCACCAGCTTTGGGATGTTGTGCAAGGTGAATGGTTACACTCAGCTCCTGAGCTGTGACTTAGGTACAAGAATGGTGCCTACTTTCTGGGCGTGAACTAAGTGCATGTAAAGGCTGCAGTGAGCTTGCGGTGGCCACGGCTCCTGTCTACTGCATCGCACATAGAGATCAAGGGCTGACTGAGTGCTCAGACCAGGACCTCGGGGCCTGGCCAGGTCTGTGGGGTCTGACTTGACACTGACTGGGCTCTTTGAGTTCCTGATTCAGTGGGTCTGGGTGGAGATAGTGAGTGACACACTTAATGAGATCCAGAGCAGGTGATGGAGCATCTAGAACCATCCTTTGAAAAACACTGCACAGGTAGGCCTACTAGGTGCTCCGGCAGATGGAGCAAGAACAGGGGGCTGCAGGTTCAGAGGCACAGGAATGGAATAGAGTGGCACCCAGGAAGCTAGGTGGTACAGGAGGCAGCGGGGGTAAGGCTGAGGGAAGAGAGTCGGGGAGGGGCACAGACTGCGCTTGGCAGAGCTGCGCCCGCTGCTGAGCGCGGAGACTGGGGTCCTCTGCATCGGAGGGGGTGTACGTGAGCAACATGCTTAGTGCACTGGAAACATTCTGGCTGCAGCTCGCTATCCAAAGGGACACTAGGTCTGTCTGTGATGCAGAGGGCGCGACTTCTTTCTGGTCACAGTGTTCCCCCTGCTGGTCACAGGAAGCACAGCACTAGCCTAAGTTGGGCGACCATTGCCTCAGTGGCTTTAGCAAGTAAACTTTCCAATAGAATGGGGGTGATTAGGCCCATTTTTCAGACAAATGGATGGAAAGAGACCAGTTAGGCGCATCATCTCGGCCCTTTGCTGTGTGATGCTGGACAAAGGACTTAACGCCTCTGGGTCTCCTTTTCGTCTGTGCGACAGAATTCACAATCTCATCTATCTCAGTTATTACAACTGACTGCTTCCACCACAGCCTGATCCTCGGTGCAGTGAGTGGCGGCCTAGTAAATGAACGCGGCTCACAGAGGTTGCCCGCCTGGCCCAGGACGGCCCAGCAGGCCTTGGGTTCGAAGCCTACCTCTTTCTGTTGTCCCTGGCAGGTCCGGAGTATCAGAAGCGTCGGTTGCTCCAGGAGATCCTGGAGAACTCGGAGAGCCTGCTGGAGCCCCCGGAGCGGGGCGCGGGCGCAGGCCTCCCGGAGCGGCCCCGGGAGAGCCCGCAGCTGCACGAGCGCGAGACCCCGCAGCCTGAGGTCGGACCCCCATCTCCGGCCGGGACGCCCCCACAACCCAAGAGGCCCCGACCCGGGTCGTCCAAGGACGGCCTGCTGAGTCCGGGCTCCTGGAACGGGGAGCCCGGCGGGGAGGGCAGCAGGCCCGCCACGCCGTCCGATGGCATCGGCCGTCGCAGTCCGGCGCGTCCACCCTCGGAGCACATGGCCATCGAGGCGCTGCAGCCCCCGCCCGCGCCCTCGAGGGAGCCGGAGGTGGCGATGTACCGCGGCTACCACAGCTATGCCGTGCGCACCGGGCCTCCCGAGCCCCCGCCCTTGGAGGACGAGCCCGAGCCCGAGGTGTCCGGATCCAACTCGGCGCCCCCGTCCCCCGCCTCCGCCACCGCCCCGGAGGAGCAGCCCCCTGCGCGGCGGAGTCCGGTGCCCGCCACGCCGGCAACTCTGGAGCCCAAGCCCATTGTCCCTAAAGCCGAGCCCAAGGCCAAGGCGCGCAAGACGGAGGCCCGGGGGCTGAGCAAGGCCAAGAAGAAGGGTCGTAAGGAGGTGGCGCTGGCAGCAGAGGCCGAGGTGGAGGTGGAGGAGGTGAGGATGCGGACAGAGGGGCTCCAGGCAGGATGTGTGTGTGTGTGTGTGTGTGTGTGTGTGTGTGTGTGTGTGTGTGTGTGTGTGTGTGTGTGTGTGTGTCGCACACGCAGAGTGAGGGGTGACTTGGGGGGAATGGAGGCCAACTCCAGCACTCCAGCGGCAGTGGGACACTAGGCAGAGGAGCAGCTGCAGGTGGGAGCCTGAGCAATAGAGTCTGTGGCATTCAGCCAGGGCCACGGTGCCAGCCACCTCTCTGTTCAGGGCGCAGCAGGGAGGGCTTCCTGGGGGTGGAGGAAGATCCCTACAGGGCTTGAATTATGGGCCTCTTTTGGAGTCCAGGAAGCAAACACAGCAGCAGAGCGCAAAGCTAATAGTTGGGAAGGCGAGTGGTGGGAGTCCCAGACCGCCCTCCATGTGGCTTGCCACATGTCCTTTCAAGGCCCCGGAGGACTGGGTTGATCAGTTCCAAGAATTCTCCCAGCCCTCATGGTCTGGTGCAGACGTGCAGGGTGCAGGGTCCAATTGTGAACAAACAAGGATGCTTTTAGGCAGATCCTTCCAGAAGCCCCGGCTCCTCTGGCCAGCCTTGTGACCTGGTTGGGGATGTGGGGGTGTCTAGAGGTCCTGAGGACTAAGGCGGCCTTTCTTCATGCCTTCAGGTACCCAACACTGTCCTCATCTGTATGGTGATCCTGCTGAACATTGGTCTGGCTATCCTATTTGTTCATCTCCTGACTTGACCCTCATCTACCAGGTATGGCCAGAGACTGAAGCCTGGAAGCCAGGGTGGCGGGCCTTGGTACTCGGTACCGGGCATGATCTTGTGGCTAGGTAAAGGCTATCCCTCAGTGTTACAGGTGTGATATGCCTTGCACTTCCCACATTCGTGTGCTCACACACACTCAACCGGACTGCCCCCTCTCTCCACTTTGCCCCACCAGCTTCAGGTTTCTGCCCCTCAACATGCCCTTAGTTGGTTCTGTCTCCCCTAGGGTGGAACTTAGGCCTAGGCTAAAGGACAGAGGCCCTCACTGGTGTGAGAACCGGCCTCCTGCTGGGACAAACCTTACAGCCCGAGTCTGGAGCTTGGCCATACTACATCTTGCCCTGCTCCCCCAAAAGACCCTCTGCTTCGATTCTGGCTTAGTGTGGACTGGAGCTTTCTAGACAGCCCAGGAGAGAGGAAGTCCTTGCTCCGTCACTGGGTAGTCACCAGTGGCAGTATTAGCCTTGCGGCTTCAGCTCTGGGGTCTAATGCTGAGCTCGGGAGGTTCTCTGTGTCACTGGACACCTGGGAGCCCTTTCTTCAGGCACTGATGGCTTTGGGGTTCAAAGAACAGGAGAGGTGACCCCGGAGGTAGCAGGGAAGGGATTTCATTAGTGAGCCAGCGGGGAGCAGGAGGGAGGCATAAGGGCCTGACTCTGATTCCCTTGCAAAGCAGCCCTGCCCAGTGTGTGGCTCAGCCTTGGGTGCCATCTCCCTCTGCTGACTGGTGTTGTCTCCCTGCAGAGCCAGGAGTTGCACTGAGGATGCCAGGAACTGTCTTTCCGCAATGCCAAGCAGGTGTCCCAGGAGGATTGGACTGTGGACTGAAGCCTTGCTCCACCCACTCCATGGATGTTTAAGGAGGCCTCCCATGAGCCCATTTGGGATGAGCCCATTGGGTGCCGGGATGCCCGAGGAAGAGCATGTCTAGGTACCCTGCAGGGCAAAGGATGCCCTGAGGGAAGAGCCCCGGAAGCCCCGAGCCCCTTGACCAGCTCCCGCATCTATCCTCAGCCCTACCTCACCTTGCCCTGTCACCCTTCCCTGGGCTTTTGTGTGTTTTGAGAGACATCACCAAAGCAAGATATTAATACAAGTCTCTTCCTCCTACGCAACCACCAATCTAGTACTCTGGTTGATGGCTTGAGGCCACCCAGGAAGATGAGGGGTGCAGAAGTCCCTTGGGTAGTGAAGGTGTGAAGACCCTGGAGAAGCACAGTCCTGCCTAGTCCATGCTGCTCCAGAGTGTTTACAGAGTTCTGGAGGGCAGTGTAGGAAATGGAGAAGCCCAGTTCAATATGCAGCATGTAATGGCCTGCATCCTCCCATTGGTCCAGTTGGCATCCCCTAGGACCAGTCTCAGGGGAAACCTGAGCATCTGAGCCTTTGGCTGGGAAGTCACCTATAGGGGTCTGGGAAAGGGTGGGAAGAAGGCAAGGTATGTTGTTAATGGCTCCTGATTTTGAGTGTGTCTGAGCCCGAGGCTGGAGTTCATTTAGGGTCACTGATGTGCCCTGGGTCGTCATGTAGGAACCCTAGGCCTGAGAGCTGCAGCTACTGTGATGTCCTATGAATTGGCTTATCTGCTATGGGATCAGGGGAGCATGGCGTGGACGCCCATGGAAGGCAAGGGCTATATCCCTGGTGCATAGTCTCTGGCAGAGAGAGCTGGAGACAAGCATTATCGAGGAAGACGGGAGTCAGTCTGGACTCCAGCTGGGGGCAGCCCGTGCAATAGCGAATTGTGCTTGGCAGAAGGTTTACTTGCATGCACCTCACTTAAAGACGTTTGCACCACACTGCGTGTTTGGGCCCTTGGGCTTGCTGGGTGCGGCATGGCAGCCCAGGACCTGTGGTTCCCTATTTCCAGGAGCTTGGAAGGAAATAGTTTCCAGGCCCCTCAAGCTTAGGGAAGAGGAGGCAGCGGCATCCAAGCTGAGTTGGAGGAAGCTGCTGATACTCTCTGGCTTCATTTCTTTGGACCTCTTGGAGTTGGGCATGGAAGCCAGATCTCCCCCTAGAGCAGCCCTGAACATGGATATTGGAGGTCAGCTTCCTTTTCTTCTCAGTCCACGGGCATCTTCTCCTTGAGCGTCACGCTGGCTGTTCCCAGCACAGCTGGGCCTTGGTGACTTGATTGGAATCGCTTTTCTACAAAGAGGAGCCTGCAGATGTTGCTGTTCCAGCCAGTGTGGGCAGGACTTTGCCCCTGGTTGGGTTTTCCTGGACTTTAGGGAATGGGGTGGGTGGAGGTTACTTAGGGGTGACAGGCTCCAGGCCTTGGCTCTGAGGTCATTGCTCCACTCTGGGTCCGGTCCAGCCCGGGGGACATGCTTGTGACTGTCAGAGCGATCAGGGTTGTTTTAGGAGGTCTGGAATGAGGGGTTAGGGTTCAGGATGCCAAGTCTGTGCCAAAAATAAATCTGCATCTTCTCACAGCTCCAGCTGTGCTGTGGTGTCTGCTTGTGGGTCCAGGATGAGGGGTGGGGGCTGCTGGGTGAAGGACAGAGGGAGAGGCTGGGAGATGGCAGGACCTACTACATCACATCCTCTTTCTGAAGATGCTCCTACAAAGCTTTGAAGGGCAGCCCAGGGGCCTCCAGTCTGGAGAAGAGGCCCAGGACCATGCATCTCTTGTAATCTTTTCCCAAAAGCTGCTCTGGCTAGCCTACGGCAGCAGCAAGAGTCTGCCCCTTTGAGACGGAGGCTCTCTGGACTCCAGGCCTGGCTTAGACACGTTATGTCAGGAGCCTCCATTTGTATTGCCCCATCTGTAAAGTGGGGGTAACCCTGCCCGCCTCCTGGGGTTACCATGAACATCACATTAAGGACTGAAAGGGTCCGGAGGATTGGCTCCGTGAGTAAGCACTGTGCAAACACGAGGACCTGAGTTTGGAGCAACAGAATCGACACAGAAGCGGAGGACAGCAAGGTATGCCTGTGACTCCATCTCCCGGGGTTGCTGGTCAGCCAGCTTAGCTGAAATGGTACACTCCAGGCTGAACGAGCGACTCTCTCAAAAAATATGGTGGAGAGGCAATTGAGGTAGACATCTTGATGTCAACCCCTGGC